TAGATACTGGAGCTAAACCCAAATTATTAATGTTTTTTTTTATTTATTTACATTTACCTTTTTAACTGTGAAGTTATTCTTCCAGTAAAAAGACGTGTAAAAAAAGAGGTGTAAATACACGTCCCGAAGCATTTTAAGTCCGACATGAAACTGATCACTATGGTAACGGGGGAGCACGTGGTCACGCAAACCCACGTGAAGCCGACATCAGGCGAAGGCTGGACCGTCTCATTTCGCAGCAGTTTTGAGCATCCTACCTGGCCCAGCAAGGATGTGGCCTACATGGCCCAGCAAGGGTGGGTCTTCATGAGGACCGAGCCCATGAATTGAGACACAGCCAGTGTGTACCTTCTTCTTCTTGTGGTGTTTAATGGAGGGCGGGTGGCAATGAACTGAAGGTGTGCATTACCGCCACCTACTGGTAAACTGTGTACCTTCCAACAGTCCACTTCCGGGTCACCACATAATACCAAATGAAATTTTAAAAAATGCGGTCGTTATTCGTTTGCTTCATGCTTGTGTTTAGTGGAGAAATGAGAATTGGAAATTGGTTCATTATCTGATTTTTTATTTTCTTTAAAAAAAAAAACAACAAAAAAAGTCTTTTTTGTATTTTCATTTTTTGTTTTAAACGAAAAAACAAATGAGTGAATGATACACTGACCTACACGGATTCAGCTGATTTACAATTATTTATTTATATCTTGCACGGGACTTTATTATGAGCTATAATTATTACACTTTTTCCATATTCTGTTTTAACTTTTATTTTCTATCCTCTAATCTATTCACTTTAAAATGACAAAGTTGTTAAAAAAATGAATGTTTCAATACATGGCAACTTAAATTACTTGACAAGCTAATAGTGAGTTAACCAAACTGACCCAATATCAAAGTGATCGTTTCCATCTTAAAACAAATCCAATTTTCAAAATTTCATAAAATGCTTATATTTAAAATTTTAAATAGTTAATTAAACAGTTAATTAGGCACAAATGTTTCTGTTTAAAGTGACCCCAAGCTGCTGGTTATTTAAAAAAAATTAATTATCTTTTAATTAAATTTTTTGATGGTGTCAAAGCAACTCAAAAACAGATATAAGGTTGTGGCCTTTTGAAGCCTGTATTCCCTCATATAGAGAACTGTATTCCATCATACAGTCTTGAAATCACCTTATTATATCAACCCAGTTTCAATAGTGACAGGAAAACCAGTCTGCTGTTTTAGGATGGGAGCTTTACACTCACTCAGGCTAGCCATTAGCTCATTAGTCATGTCAAACATGCGCTCTATTTCTCTAAGGCTGCTTTAAGAGTTATCAGCAGCAGGTAAGATTTAATTATTTATAACTTTTATACAGAACTCCCCTTCAAAACTTTCAAAATATATTTTTTATGTTTCTCAATACTCCAGTGGAGGTTTTTCACATTCTCCACCCACCTGATCCTGTACAAGATCACAGGGAGACAGTGCCAGTGGTCACTGAGCAAGAGGCAAAGCACACTTGAATAAATCAACTTAAGGAATCAGTTGTTGGAAGAAAGCTTATGAATTAGGAATTTTTAGATATTTGACATTTGCTGACTTACATTATTTTAGAAATAATTTGCACCGTTGTTATTTAGCAGAAATAAAAGTTTGAATTTTGTCTGATATCCCCTCGAGGTGTTCTGTTTGCATCGAGAACCATGATTTGCAATAAGAGCTAAAAAAAGGAGCCATTAGAGAGTAAGCCACACAAATCAGTTCTGTTCTACTTTTAGGGACAAATAAAACTGTTTTTTTTTTACTCTCGCTAAGAGGCTTGGTGGAAATCTCCTTTGTATTAAAAAAAACTACACAGGTATTTAAGTATTAACATCAACCAACACGGGATTTATCTAAATCTATTCTTGTTACAACAGAGCAATCAATGTTTTACTACAAGGGAGGGTTACTGTATTTCAGCAGAAGAGATTAGAAGCTCACGGTGCTGACACAACTCAGAGGAATCAGGAACACAGACACCGCAGGCACAGTGGTGGTGGGGAGGTCGGGGCTGGGGATGACAAGCACTCTGGTATAAATCAATAGCCGGCATCCAGTGATAAATCCCCCCAGCTCCAATGACTGACCGGCCCTCACACCCACACACACAAAACAAGCCCGATCCCCCACGTCACAGCAGCCAAAAGTTATCACTGCCATGGATCAGCGGCTCGCTGATGTGTCAGCTGAAA